ACCTGTAATACAATAGACATAGAGTAGACTTTGGTGTAGATGGGCAGGGTATAAATCTAATAAACAAACATAACAAAAGCTGGATTCTTCTCTCACAAGGGCTAATTATATTCAAGAGCCTGTAATGAGGCACTTTTGTCAAGTGATTTCAAAAATCACCAGACCATCCTACCCATATGCCTACTGGCCCTCTCAAATAAAATAAAATAAAATAAAGAAATTCAGAAGTTCATTAAGGCAGGATTTTTCTTTAGCAAGACTTGGAATGCAAACTCATGCATATCTACACGGAAATAAGTGTCATTTAGATCAGGGACTTGCTTTCCAGAGACATTGGTTAGGATTGCAACCTTATGCTTCTGTAAATCTGAGGAGGTTATTTTCAACCAGGCTAATTTTAGGGAGAGGTCATACATTCTCTCAGAAGTGTTTTCCCATTTGATGTCTTTACAAACTTAAAAGGTAGGTGCTAAGGTATAATTTAATTGTATAGCTTCCCCTTGTAAACATTGTTTGCTCTTTTTTGTACTATCGCCCACATCTTCAGCATCATAATTGCATTTCAAACTACTGTTAACCTGTTTTGATTTAGATTTGCCTCACTACCTTGGTACATGCGCTTGTAATCTCAAGATTAGACCACTGCAATGCGCTCTACGTGGGGCTGCCTTTGAGGCTGCTGCGGAAACTACAGGTGGTGCAGAATGCTGCGGCCAGACTCCTCAGTGGTGTGAAAAAATACCAACATATTTCACCCACTCTGGCCGCACTGCATTGGCTGCCCATCTGATTCCGCATCGACTTCAAAGTGTTGATGCTTACGTATAAAGCCCTAAACAGCTTAGGGCCTCGATACTTGGCGGAATGCCTACTTCCACCAAGTTCTACCTGTGTCACTCGCGCGAGTCAGGAGGTGAGGCTGAGGAGCCTAACACCGAGGGAGGCCTGGAAAGAAAAGATAAGAAATCGGGCCTTCTCGGCGGGGGCTCCTCACCTCTGGAATAACCTTCCCCCTGACACTCACGCGGCTACCTCACTGGGTATTTTTAAAAAACAATTAAAAACACTGATGTTTCGGCAGGCCTTCCCCTCAGCCAACTCCTGATCTTCCCTCTTTCTCCTCTCTCCTGGTGTCTGTTCCATCTCATCCAAAGTTTCTCCCCTTATTTAAAATTGTTTTAATTATTTTGTATTACCCTTGTTGTAAGCCGCCTAGAGTGGTCTTAAGTGACATAATTGCATTTCAAACTACTGTTAACCTGTTTTGATTTAGATTTGCCACCAATTATAAAATTGGATTGGTCATGTTTTATATGTGCTCTTTGTGGGTGTGCATGCTTTCAAGTGTGTTTCTCCTGCATTCAAAATCATAAGTTTATCTGGGATAAAACATTTTACCATATGCCTCTAAATTGTCCAAGGTTAGTAGCCGTAAGACAGTGTGCAGTATAAGGCTTCTTGAACTGATGGCCGAGACATCTTTGGTTGATAGTCATTAAGGAAAGAGATGAGATTCCAGTGGGTCTGAATGCCTATCACGTTCAGTTTAAGCCATCTTTTAAACCAGCATGAGATGGTTTGACAGTACCAAAATTCATATGTTAAGTTTTTAAGGTAATACAAAACTTTTTGCTTTGCTGCCACAGGCTAATATGCCTACTTCTCTGGGAATGAAAATATTTTTTCTTATCTCATAGCAAGAGCTGGAAACTAAGAAAGGTGCAAGAAACCTACTGTAATTCATTTGCCTGAGATCTTTCATGCTCTGGTTTTGCTCTTGCTAATCATCTGTAAAAATGAACCTGAAGGAAATATTGCTGCTTCTTTTTGCTTCTTGTACTGAGAAATTACTGCATGGAAAACTGTAATGGAAACCAGAGAACAGTTAACCGTTTCAAAATCTGAAAGATTACCATCAATTTTAATGGTATCTAGTTTTATCAAAAACAGTTGCAACAGGTCTTGGCTTCTTATTTTCATTTGGATATAAACAGATCTAAACATAGATCAGAGTGGTTGTTGTGGGTTTTTCGGGCTCTTTGGCCGTGTTCTGAAGGTTGTTCTTCCTGACGTTTCGCCAGTCTCTGTGGCCGGCATCTTCAGAGGACTGGTATCACTTAGATGATTTTCAGCTCCAGTAAGGAAACAACAACTTATACTTGTGTAACTGTCATGCTAAGAAAGAACACCATACACTTGGATGAAAAAAATTCTGCACCATGTAGTGGAAAGCAGGAAGGAAACAGATAACCATCATCTTACTACTAACATTCTGCTTGGTACACCTGCTATCTTTCATAGTTCTAATTCAACATTTTATTTTAAAGGTTGTCCTTGTTTCAAAATGTTTTATTTTGTAAAGTTAACACAGAACTTTAAAAACAAAGACAATGAATACTTAACATGCATAAGCCAACAAAATCCAAAAACAGAATAGTAAAAAAAGATAGCAAGATTATTCATACAATCTGCACCTATAAATAACTGGTAATTGTTAGCATGTTATAATAACATTTCTTTATTTCACCCAAGAAAAAAGGTTATCCTGGAGACATAAAATCAAATTCAGTACTTCACTATCTAATTTTGCATGGTTAAAACTTTTTAAAAAAAATCTTTTGGAGTTTTTGAACACCCAGCCTAACAACATTCCTAAGTTAGCAAAAAACGCTTTGCCTTCTGTTATATTGTAAGCTAGACTGGTTGAGTCAAGCAGGATCAATCCATAATGATTAACATCTTAAATTTAATTACTGACAAAGATTCAGGTTTGGAAATTTGGTGCCTAGTTTTCAGAAGATATTTAGGTAGCCACATCTTACCACATATGAAAGATAGCGAACTGGACATACACTAGGCCTCAATTCTATATACACTTACCTGGTGATAAATCCCATTTAACATAATGGGACACATTTCCAGATGGACATGTATACAATTGAGTGGTAGTTGGCTGGCCCAAAAGAGATCCTTGACAAAAGACAACAATGGCTAAGTTTCATTGCCTTCCTTGGGCACCAACTGCCAGGAACTTAGCCTGGATTCAACTCATTATTATAAGCCACTCCAATCCTCCACTTTCCAATAATCTAGGGTTTGAATGGTATGTTAACATCTAACAGCATGAACGGTGCTGCAATTAATGTATGGTTTAAATTCCTAACATGATGTCCTCCTTCTCTCACACACACACATATACACACAGCTTTGGCATTAAGAAAGCTCAGAAAGATTTCTGTCTGAAAAAGAGGGTCTTCTACTCAATGGACTGGAGAAAAAGGAATAATGATAAATTTCAAGATTCATATCTTTGTGGATGAACTCCATCAATGCAGATCATCTATTTTCTTAGAACCAAGTATCATGGAATTCAACAGCGCATACTTTCCATTATATTTGCACAAGACTGCCATCTTGGACTATTCTGAAGATAAATCATATTTAACCTACCATTCAGATTAAATCTGTAAAATATTATATGAATATCAACAACTTGGCAGTAATCTTTTTTAAAGAAAATTCAGTGTTAACTATCCACAAAAATCACATGAAAACAACTGAATGTGTCAAACTAGACTATCTACTGCATATTTAGATAAGTTGGGCTCTCCATGACAAACTGATGCTGTCATGACCCAAATGATGATTACAATTTCTTTAAAATACTTTCTTAAGTTGCTTCTTTCCATAATTAATACTGTTTGCCTAGATCAATGATAAAAATCTGCAGCTTTGCTTCTCTTAGACAGCATATTGGTATCTGGTGTTAGTCTTTCACAATTTACTTTGCAGTTTTGAGAAGAGTAAGATCACATACAAGTACCAAATTGTTAATCTTTGTTGTGGTGCAACTTTCAGAAGCACAGAGACACACACAAATCACCACTCTGCATATGAACTGGAAGTGTGAAAAATAAATGTGTAGCCACAAACATGCCCTTTGCTGGCATGCCTTTGCAAGCATGTGAGGCTGTCCTATGAACAGAAGCAGCAAAGCAGCACAAAGAAATAATCCCATGAAATACAGCACATGCATTTCCCATTACCTTACATACATGGCATCTATTCCATTACTAGACATCATACATAACACAAAGATGAATGAGGAAGACAGGAAGTACACATGTATGGATGGCATTGCTTTGTAGTCTCCTAATCCAACTAACACACAAAAGAGTTAGTAGATAAGCAAAAATAATAAAAATGAAACAAGGTTTTACAGAGCTAACCTTGCTCTAACAATTCCTCTCAAACAAGGCAGACAGATGAGTAAATTATGCTACATTTTAAAATATACAAAATATCTGCCAAAAAAAGCGCCAAGCACAAAATAGGTACTTTTTAAATGGTATCTCTTTTGCAAAGAAAGCAGGACATTGTTATGTTTATTTATCTGCCATCTTGGACTATTCTGAAGATAAATCATATTTAACCTACCATTCAGATTAAATCTGTAAAATATTATATGAATATCAACAACTTGGCAGTAATCTTTTTTAAAGAAAATTCAGTGTTAACTATCCACAAAAATCACATGAAAACAACTGAATGTGTCAAACTAGACTATCTACTGCATATTTAGATAAGTTGGGCTCTCCATGACAAACTGATGCTGTCATGACCCAAATGATGATTACAATTTCTTTAAAATACTTTCTTAAGTTGCTTCTTTCCATAATTAATACTGTTTGCCTAGATCAATGATAAAAATCTGCAGCTTTGCTTCTCTTAGACAGCATATTGGTATCTGGTGTTAGTCTTTCACAATTTACTTTGCAGTTTTGAGAAGAGTAAGATCACATACAAGTACCAAATTGTTAATCTTTGTTGTGGTGCAACTTTCAGAAGCACAGAGACACACACAAATCACCACTCTGCATATGAACTGGAAGTGTGAAAAATAAATGTGTTAGCCACAAACATGCCCTTTGCTGGCATGCCTTTGCAAGCATGTGAGGCTGTCCTATGAACAGAAGCAGCAAAGCAGCACAAACAAATAATCCCATGAAATACAGCACATGCATTTCCCATTACCTTACATACATGGCATCTATTCCATTACTAGACATCATACATAACACAAAGATGAATGAGGAAGACAGGAAGTACACATGTATGGATGGCATTGCTTTGTAGTCTCCTAATCCAACTAACACACAAAAGAGTTAGTAGATAAGCAAAAATAATAAAAATGAAACAAGGTTTTACAGAGCTAACCTTGCTCTAACAATTCCTCTCAAACAAGGCAGACAGATGAGTAAATTATGCTACATTTTAAAATATACAAAATATCTGCCAAAAAAAGCGCCAAGCACAAAATAGGTACTTTTTAAATGGTATCTCTTTTGCAAAGAAAGCAGGACATTGTTATAATGTTTATTTATCATCATGAGCTGTGTTCACAGTGAGTAACAGGGACTGAGCTAACCCTAAAACTTTACATTGGCATGTCTGCTTATGAAACTGATGTGCCACAGCTGCAATTCTAATAAAGCAAAACACTTAAAACAAAACTGCACTGGACTCATGCACCTCTGCATTTGAGAACAATTCTGCTGCATGTCTTTCATCTATACCAGAATATGCATGCTGTGTGCCAGTTGCATTTTGTTCAAGAAATGATTTCTGAGGCTGTGGTTCTTTTTCAGATAGAGGTAATAAAGCCCAAGGCTTGTTCAACAAAAGAAAAACTTTGTATGTGCTACAAGTTATATATGAAAAATCACAAACGTTATTTAGATTTAGATCAGGATGATCCGGCAAGTACAGGGGGAAGAGAGGGCAATGGAACAAGGATGCTTTTCCAGTCACTGGACACACAGGATGGGGAAGAAGACCTAGCAGACCTAACTGTACTTGAAGCAGACCCCCTAAAATCAATCGAACTTAGTTAACTGTAACTTGAATGAGTCTAATTTAGTTACAACTTAGACTGGATTCCAAATCAAAGAACAGATGTTGCTTACACATATCTGTTAAAAATGATAAATATTTTAAGATGAAAACTACCATTTTTGATAAGCAGGCTCTAAGTGCCAGAGTGCAATCACAAAATCTTCCCATATGCTCTATGGGAATTTTCAATGTGGAACTAAATAGCAGACAGAATGCAGCCCATTCTGTTCCACCTTCAGTTTTAGTCCAAGGCAAGGGTCAGGAGTATGGAGAGAGGAGAAATAAAATATTTTTAAACGCAGACCAGACCTCTACTGTGAAAACTCCCACTCTTTTTATGCTCACTGAATTGGGCTGTGTAGTTTAATGAAAACAGGCTAGAGGTGGAAAGCACTATGCTTGTAATTCCAATGAGAAAGGGTTCAGCATTTTTTGTTTCCATAGGAGAGATAAGAGGATCCCGTGTTGTTGTTAATGACTGCCTTATGAATATTTCAGTTACAAATTACAATTCCCCAAGAATGCAGTGCTGTTTGGAAACAACTTCAAATAAGAAAATGGAAAAGAGATACCAGTAACTTTGCGTCACTTTGGGAAATTGTATCACACAGGCCTCAAGTGAGAAAAGTTCGAAACCATTAGATATTCAAATGGATAAACAATTCCAGTTACTTGAGACAGCTTTGAAGATGAACCTAGGCAGAAAAAGAAATGGATCGTTAGACAAGACCAAAATCTCTGTAGAAACCTTATTTGCTAAACAATGCCATCTATTTGCAGCTGACTGTATGAATTTACTCTCACTGGCCTGCAACTTTTCACCAATCAGCTACAACAGAGGTGGGCAGCACCAGTTATCCAATCTATCCCCCAAGATTGTGCTGCTGCAACTGTACAAGTATGTCACAGAACATCAGAGAACCCTCCTGCTATGCATGAAGCCCACTTTTCTAAGAGCCTCTCCTTCCTTTCTGCAAGGAGAGATCTTATTTTGCGGTACTGCCAAAATCAGTGGTATACTTCTAACCTAGTGGTTCCCAACCTTCAGTCCCCAGATGTTCTTGGACTAAAAGTCTCAGAAGCCTTTGTCACTAGCTGTGCTGGCCAGGATTTCTTCACTCAGATGACGGTGAAACCCTTTGTTTTTACTGGGATTTTCCTCTGCATTCTTACAACCTCTGTTAGCTGTGCTAGATTTTCTGCATCCAGAAACCAATTTTTTTAAAAAAAATCAGTTTTCAGAATGACAGAATCCAAAAGAAAAGTTTAAGACTGGGATAGGTTTCTGCACCAGCAGAACTACAATATTTGCACTGGCACATATTGTATAATGACATCCCAACAAATGGATATAAATTTATGATAGAGGACACAGGAGGCAAATTTACACGAGAGAATTTATGCTGAGGATGCAGACCCAGCAAACAGGACACATGTACATACTAGAGATGAGAGCTTTGTGCTTCATTCTAAGCAAGGCACCACAGGTGGAGCTGAGTTCCATCTCCCTCACCACAGGCTGCCTGGTCCACTTACTGGGCTCTGCATGCTGTTGGGTCCTTCTTTGGTAATGGTACTCCAGTCCAGGCAAGAGCCCAGCCAGCCTTTCTCTGCCTCCTCAGGCAGCCAACTGCTCTGGTGAGGAGGCAGAGCAGAGAGTCTCCCTTCACAGCCAACGAGTGGTTGGCACAAAACTCTCATCTCTAGTACATACTGATGGCTACAGACAGAAATCAAGACTGTTTAGTGTATTTTTGCCTAGCTTGCTAATTTGTATTTACAGTGTTATGTGGAAGGAACAGAAGGAATCAGATTTTTTCTACAATATCAACTGAGTGTAAAACTTTCTCAGTAACTTGGCACCTTCCTGTCACCCCCTGCCCAATAAGATCAAAAACATTTTACACCCACTCTTGTAATACTAGGGCTACCAACTCTTTGTTGTACATCATTGCATTTCTGCAATAGATTGTCATTTTATAATGCAAAAACCATGACATAACATTGCATAAATACAAAAATAAACCACATCACTGTTATGTAACAGCAACACTCCACACCTAGAGCCACATAGCTTTCCTCTTAGTGGTCTTCACTCTTGATCAGAGGATGTGCGTACCCATCCGGCAAGTAGGTTTTCCTTAGCTGATCTGCCTTGGGTATGGAATTTCCATTCTTCACGTGGCGAGAGAGGAAAGCTCTCACGGATGGATGATCAGCCTTCTCAAGAGGAATGTTAGCTTCCAGAAACATTTTTACGAAGTCCTGGATGACCCCGGGTTTCTCTGTCTGGGCTGCACTGTTGCACTGCAAAGAGGCAGTAAGAGTCCGTGGCTTCTTCCTGGTACTTTGTTCTTCAAACTCCCCTTTGCGTTTGGTGTGAGTTTTGGATTTGAGATGGTCATTGATGGCAGACTTGCGCACGTGATTCAGGACCACATTGCAGAAAGTGCAATACAGTTTCCCTCCATCTTCATACAGTTCACTGCCAAACTCTGTGACACGATCCTGAGGAGTCACATACAAAGCGGTCTTGGAACGGCTCCGGGAGGGAGGTGGCTTCACATCAAATCGCTCCATTGCTGTCTTCAGTAAACTGAAAATGAAACACTTGTGTTACATCCGTGTTTCTCTTGCAGTCCTAAATAGGTCATTTATTTAGGTTTCAATATTATGATACTTTGCAAAATGTACACTTCAATATGCCTGGTAAATAAAACTGAATACTATGATGCTCAACCACATATTGTTCAATGTTCCTACATGCATGCCAACATTACATTTGCCAACAATTTCCTTTGCTGAACACAACAAAACACACAGATTTCCTTTGCAAGCATAAATGTTGTAGTCCATACAAGGTTCTTAATCAGAATGTGATAGATGTTATCTGACACAAGACAAGTATTAAGGCAAAGTAGTTTTAAAGACATTGGATTGTATGCAGAATTTATTCTCCAGAAAGGAAGGAAGTGGGATGCCAATTGCTCTTTCCACTTATGGTCCCTAGTTTGATCCCAGGGACAGTTCTGTAGGTTCCCCAAACTTCCAGAGCAGATTTCTAGGACCCCCAGGAAATTACAGGGGAGAAATAATTGACAAAAATTGCCTCTTCTATTCAGTCTGGGAAATCATCCAGTTCACAGTGTTCTATATCATACAAATCTGGAACCAAGCCATTGTTTAAAATAGATGGAACCCTGTGTGAGACACTGGCTGAAATTTTGTTGTGTAAATTTCCACTGGCACATGCGGATATTGTCATTGCTATGGGCTTTTATCTCTCATTCAAGCTTCCTATCCTCCTCCTATCGGGTTCAGAGGCTCCCTAGGGATCCTTTTTGTCCCAGGGAAACCTTTTGGAGCCTCAAGATGAGGGTGAGCCTTTAATATTCAAAAACTGCTGCTGGACCACTGCCAGTGAGATTGGGGCCACTGCAAGCATTCCAATAGGTTTTGGATCTTAAAGAACTCCTCCCCAAAAAAGGCACCCAAAGGCTTTCCCAGGACCAAAGGAATCTGTAGGGAGCCTCAAAACCTGATGTGACGGTGGCAAGAATATGAACTAGGGATAAAAGACTGTGGCTGATTATGTCAGCAGCCTTGTGTAGCTCTAACCAGCCACACTGGTTCATGGTTCTTGTTAAAAGCTGTTTATCTTTCCAAACACAGGCTTGGAGATCAAACAAATAAATAATTTGCTTAAGTATCATTGAAATCAACTTAGCTGTACTAGGTTACAACTTTGGTTTCAAAATTTCATGGTTTTAAAAATAAATTTGAGTGATAAAAAATGGGAAAATACTCATTTGCTTGTTTATAATACAAAATGAAGAAGGCAGAGAAAGTATTTGAAAAACACAAGCTGATTTTGATTGCTATATCATTTTATACCTTTCAAAATCAAAGCCTCCAGAAATTTCAGGTATTTACCTCCAATTTTTAGTCCAAAATTAAAATACTGTAGCATACAGCAATTTGCAGCTTTACAGGTCATATCCATAGGATTTAATTATTAGTACAGTGGTGCCCCGCACAGCGAGGTTAATCCGTTCCGGATTAACCTTCGCTGTGGGAAACATCGCACTACGGAACACAAAAAGGCATTAGAACACATTAAACAGCGTTCAATGCGTTCCAATGCCATAGAATACTCACCGTTGTGCGATGTTTCCCAGGGGTCGGCAGCCATTTTCGCGGCCTCCCCTTGCACAACGAGGGCGCAAAAATGGCTGCCATCAGCTGTCCGGCGGGTCCAAAATGGCCGCCGGAACAGCCGAAAGGGGCCGGGGCGCAGCGTATTCGCGCCTTTGGTAAGCAAGGGAGCGCGCGAAAATGCTGCCGGAAGCCCCGAAATGGTTGCGCGCAGCCATTTTGGGGCTTCCGCAGCGTTTTCGCACGCTCCCCTTGCTTACCAAGGGCGTGAAAACGCTGCGCCCCGGCCCCTTTCGGCTGTTCCGGCGGCCATTTTGAAGCCGCGGAACAGCTGATTGTCAGGTCACAAAGCGAAGGTCGGTAAGCGAGCAGCTTACCGACCTTC